CACTGTAGCACAGAAAAAAATCATAAATTTTAAAATGATGATAAAAAGACACAAACATACATATGCTCAATTTCTATCTGATCTCTTTAAACTGAGTTGACTGGAAGGTAATAAAAGGTGATTTCCCTTAATTATAAGCCAAATCTTATCAGGAAGGGGACCATGGTCCTAGCCGGTTTGGCTCAGTTAGAGTGTTGGCCACTGGACTGAAGGGTCCCGGGTTCGATTCCAGCCAAGGGCACGTACCTCAGTTGCAGGCTCGATCCCCAGCCCCCGTTGACGCATGAGTGGGAGGCAACCAATCGGTGAGTCTCTCTCACATCAATGTTTCTGTCTCTCTCTCCCTCCCCCCTCCACTCTCTCTGAAAAACAAAGGAAAAAATATCCTCGAGTGAGGATTAAAAAAAAAGAGAAGGGACCATGGTTCGGCCAGTGTGGCTCAGCGGTTGAGTGTCGACCTACGATCCAGGAGATCGCATTTCGATTCCTGGTCGGGGCACAGGCCTGGGTTGCAGGCTCGATCCCCAGTCGGGGCGTGCAGGAGGCAGCCGATCAATGATTCTCTCTCATCATTGATGTTTCTGTCTCTCTCTCCTTCTCCCTTCCTCTCTCTGAACTCAATAGACATATTTTTTTTTTATAAAAAAGGGGGAAACCATAACCCATTATTCTAATTTTACAACTATAATACTTAACGTGAATTGTATTATTGTTTTTTAAAAACCACTTCCAATAGGTAAAATTTTCTGAAGACAGATACAGATACAAAGTTAGATAATTTATCTCAAAGTTAAAAATCTGAACTTTCCCTTTCTGTCCTATGAACAAAAATAAACAGCTTTCACATGGACCTGAAAGGTAAGCCTTACATCGATTATAATTTTGCATTTTACCTCCAATGTTTCATAAGAAAGAGTAGCTATGGCAAAACAAAACAAAAAAAAGACAAAATAAATATATTCATAGCTACAGACACACATACACAAACATTTCTCTAGTATCAGAGTTCAAGGGACTCAAATATGCTCTCCACAAAGGAAGTGAGACTCTCCTGCCCTCTGCATTGTAGAGAAGGAAAGCATGGTTTTCCACCAAAGCTGCAAGATCGAGCTTGTTAGCAAACAGTAAAAACCGATGTGTAAGCTAAATGACTCCTTTGTAATACAGAAAAAACACCTGTCATTACTTGTGCTTCCTTTCTTTAAAAAAAACAAAAACACTTCATAACAATACACCCTACAGATGGCCTCTACTGTGTCATGTGCAGAGTCACAGAATTATTTCAAAACAAATGAAATCTATGGGAGAAAAAAACCTACCCAATATAAAATTATGGGAAATTTTAGTTTCAGCTTTAATACCATGTTGCATAAATAAAGCAAGAGCAACACATCAGATATAAGTGACATGACATTACTTAGTCCTAGTCGGTGAAGCCCAAATAATATTTATTCCCCTGGCTTTCATCCACTAAATGTCATTTATGCTTTCACTCTACTCGGTGTAGTGTTGATATTTTTTAATATAAATCAAACGATTCTCACCAAAGTTACTTAAAATTAATTTGTTTAAATTACAGCATAAATGCGGATTGTCAAGTTCAATTCCCTAAATAATCGGACAATGCACTTACACTAATAACAGTCAAAGGCTGAAGTGCTTATTGGGAATGTCTGATAGAATCGGCAAAATCTAAACATTTAGGCATAAGTGGGGAATTGCAAAAACAAAAAATGTTAATCACAAAATGGGGCGATATAATCATGCTTGTGGATGACATTTCACAAGTCTTTGGAAGGCTCCACAGCATAGAGCAGTAAATCATTAATTTACTTTCTGAGGCAGAACTGATATGCCGTCCTCTGAGTGCAGATGGGACTGGAAAGCAGGAAGCAAAACACCATATGAAACACGCTGAACAAACAGAGAAGTGTGTGCAACCTTCCCTGACCAAAATGGAACTTTTCCAGAACATTCCATTCAAGCTTCAACCCATGTTACTTCCTATTCGGCTATGACATTTCTCAACCTGTACCTTCTAAGTACTGCAGTGATAACCATGAACTGCACTTATTTGTATATATGGGTGCATAACTGAAGTTTTGTAATTTAAAAGCTCTATTGAAAACCTGAGTTCCCTATACACTGATCCCAAGCCCTCCTTCCCAATATCTAGGGTGTCTAAAAGCAACATTTGCTTCTAATCTGACCTATAAAAAGGAGCCCCAGAGAAAATATTTTAAAAAGAAATCATTCATGCCTTACGATGCTACAAAATAAAAAAGATGTCCAGAGAATACAAAAGTCTGGGAGTGAGGTCTCTGAGTCCCGACCTGACACTAGGATGCCAACTATCCCAGTTCGCCTTAGACTAAGGTATTTCCCAGGGTTGGGGGCTTTCAGTGCTAAAACCAAGGAAATCCCAGGCAAATACGGACTAGTTGGTCTCCCTATGGATGATGCTGGCTAAGTCACAACCCACTGGCAGCACAGTGCCCGGCTGCTAACATCTGGATGGGACAAAGGGCATAGGAAGAGAACCAGAGTTTCCAGGACCCTTTAGTTCTAACTTCCTATGACCCTGTGCAATGTTTACAGCATATCTGATTGCGTTATATGTTATATACCACACGTGACTGTCCCTTTATGAAGAGTTAGGGGGCTCTGGAAATATTTTGTGAAGCTATGCATTAAGTTTGGAGTTATATAAGCTTAATAATAAACAGAGCTAGGAGTTTTCAGCTTTTTATTTTCCATTTCTATAGCAAAGAGGAAATAAGCTGCTTCTAGAAAATATCACGCCAACAAAGAAAATCCTTCCATCACCAACATCCAATTTAATCCATTCTCCCCAACCCCCCTTGCTTCCCAGCTCACAGGAGACCTAGACAAGACATCGGGACAAAGCTTAAAAACAGAAAATATTACTTTGATTTATCAACAGCCACTGTGAAAGAATATATTTCTACATTTTAAAGAAAGTAAGAACTTAAAAAAGTGTGACTACAAGTAACTGTGAAACCCAAGAGCAAAGCAAATGCAACTGTTTCAACTAGCAGCCCACACTAACAAGTCATAAAAGAAAAGGATAAATAAGGCCTTGAACACTTTCAAATGCAGTCTCTAATTTTATCTTTAATCCTGAAAAATCCCATTTTAGAGAATAAAAAAACAAGTTCTACAAAAGAGTAAGTCACAGTCTCAGATGTGGGTAAAATCAGAACCAACATTCAAGCTCTCTCTTTCTTCGTTGGTCATTCTAATTAGGATACTATCTGACTTCCTGCTACTAATAAAGATCCTAAATGAAAGCATTTGTGCCGGGAAGACTGAGTTATGAAAAATGTCTAAAAGCACAACTAGGAAAAAAGTCCTATTAAATGATTTTTGCAAAGGCAATAACATTCAGGGGAAGTTACAGTAAAATGCCTCTGTCCTAAAAAATTACAATATCCATTATATCTATTACTCATAACTGAACTACTCTATCACGTCTCATCATCATTCTTAGTAAGTAGGTAGCTTACTGTCTTTAGAATTTATCCAACATGCTCCTTTATGAGAAGTCTGGCAACACCAACAAGAGATTTCTTGTTATCTAAGGGCAGCCTCAAGGTCTGCGTGTATATTCCCACGTGTGGCTATACATGTGCACATATAGGAGCTGTTTGCTTCTCTTTGCCTCTTCACAGAGAAGTTTCTCTCCCCAAATCAGTAGATGGTTTCTGCCCAAATCTGTCACAGACGCTGCAGGAATATGAATGTGTGCAAGAGAAAGAAGATCTCAGTCCTCAGGATACTTGTAATTTACTTGGAGAAGGTAAGACACAGTCATTCCCACGAAGAGTTCCCTGTGCCAGCAGAATGGATGGCTGTTGTATTTTAATTAGCAATACGGGGATGCTGTCATCTGCATATTATTTGCATGACTCACAAAGCCTTAATCCAAATAGGTAAGAAAAAAATAAATCCATGCCACTTATTTCAAATATATTAATATACAATAAATACACAATAAATAACAGAATTTATTTTGAGTATGCAGTGAGCATACCACCAGCAGCAAAGAAGGGGGAGTGAGATTCTTAATGGCCAAAATATCACATCAACTCAGGAAACAGGAGAAAAGGAACGGTTTTGATATTATTACCTTAGCAATGGCTGGCAAAGAGGTGTGGGTGCTCAAAACCCAGAGTTTGTTAAGAATAAGCTGCTGGGCTCGATTTCTAGAGATGCAGGTGTCAGCCCTCACTCCTTCACAATCACATCCTCTCTTGCCCTGGTTTTCTACCTGTATTACTTGAGGTTTAAACCAGATGATGGCTAGTATTCCTTTAATGAACACCTCTGGTAACCCTTTCTTTGATAAATATACCAAGGTCCCATCCCCTTTCTGCCCCCCCCCAATTACAGTGTACAACACTAAGGTATTCATTAATCAATGACTTTAATTTTTTGTGTATATACACTGATGTCTTTATGGCAGCTTATTAACATAGCAAAAATCTTAATCCACCTTGCTAAATTTAGCACTAAACAGTCATCAGTTTTACATCTAGCCCTAATAACCTAGCCAGGTTCATGTGGCATATGATTCAGTATTGTTGCAAGAAGTGCTGGTGTAGCCATAATGCACGATAGTGGCGAACAGACTGAATAATTGTGTATTCGTTGCTTTTAGCTGGCTTAGAATGGCTTAGGACACAGCAGCCAAGAGTAAAAAAATATTTCATTTCCTTTCTTTTTTTATGGTAATCCAGTGACAACATCTAAATATGACTTTGGTATTATCCTTTCACTTAGTAAGACTTAAACCCATGTTGTTTAGGTGAGAGAGAAAAAGCAGAAGAAAAATATGGGCTGTAATGTCAAACTACTTCTACTCTTATGTGGCAATCTTCTTGCTTGGACATCTGAATGTTAGGAAGATTATCACCTAGTAACAGCCATGAATTCAAATGAAATGAACTCCGATAAAATGCTAAAGAATACAAGCTCTCTTCATTCTCAAATACTCTTTTTACTCATTTCAGCAAAGATATGAAAGAAATCCAAAATGAAAAAGTGAGGACATACTCAAGCTTCCATGAAGCTGCATGATAAAGTGAGTAAGAGGAACAAAAATAAATCCAAGAATTGAGAACTACGCTGGAAAAGTTTTCCAAATGCTATTCCTGCTTGTATGTAGCTCCGTTATAAAGTTAACATTCAGCCAAATTTTTAAAGTATTTGTTAAACAGTTCTTGCATGTGGCATATGTTTCCAGGATACTTCTGACATTGATATGGGAGATTATAAAACATTTAGAGAAGAAAATGTTACTCTCCAACAAAAAACACCATAACTTCCAAGCTTCTTCTGCATTTATAAGATAGAAAAACATTTGGAAAATAGCAGCTTTCCATTTTAAAATGCTCAAATAATATACTTTAAGATTAAAAAAAAAGTGTAATTGTTCAAGGCAAGGAGCAGATAAGTCTAAATAAAATAAGATACTAAAATTAACTCCAGAAATCATTACTTTTCCTTTGCAGTCTCAATCCTGTTTACTCCACAATAAATACATTGTTGTATCCCTTCAGCTGGGAAGGATAATTTTTATCCTACGACGATGATGACAGTAATACACTGGGGTGCTCACCGAGCAAGCAGCACATGAATATGAAGTAGCATCAGTTCTTTCCGCCAAACAAGGTGTGCGCAAGACTTGCTTTGCAATGCATTAATTTAGGAACTCCGCGGAGAGGCTCCTGCTATATCTAGCTGATCGAAACTTGAGCTCATGGTAACACTGCACAAAGCTATGGTAGATGAAAGTGATAGGTAACGCCAGCAAAACAATGCCACTGACAACGCAAACTCCTCCGAGGATTCTCCCGGGCACTGTGATAGGGTACATATCTCCGTAGCCAACTGTAGTCATAGAGATAATCACCCACCAGCAGGCAGCAGGGATGCTGGCGAAGTCCTTGTTGGATGCTTCCAGGTCCAAGCCATGTTCAAGAAGCTGAGAGAGTGCACTGAAGATTGCCATGGCAACACAAATGAAGACAAGTAACATAACCATCTCTCGGTAACATCGTCTGAGAGTCAAACCAAGTGTCTGAAGACCAATGAAGTGACGGGCAAGCTTAATCACCCAAAAAATCCTCATCATTCTAAGCACCCTCAAGGTGACTCCAGCCCTCTGGAGCTGAGAGTTCTCGCCTGTGAATACTGTCATTAACACGGAGATGTAATATGGCGTGATTGCCAGTAAGTCAATAATGTTCAGGGGTCTCTTGACAAACTCACACTTGTTTTTGGAGACGATGAACCTCACGATGCACTCTGCAGTGAACCAACCTATGCAGATAGCTTCAATTATCCTGTCAAGAGAACAAAAGCAGAATTGATCATTTTATTTTTAAGCATTTTAATAAAGCTCTTAGAGTTCTTCAGATAGTACTACACTGACATATTAATTCAGTTACTTATTCCAGAAAACATAAAGAACAGACAGCATTGCCAACATCATTGGACCCACCAGGACACAACAGAACAACAAATATTACAGTTCAAATGAAAACTAAACTTGATAAAGTTCTTATTTATAGACTGCATGTAATACCATTAATTTTTTTTGCTTGTCACTGATACTTAACATCTAGCTCTTATTAGGTGAATTGCAATGAACTTACACTCAGCTTGTCACAATATGAAATGTCACTTACTCTGTGAGGACAGTGATTCTCAACTGTGGTATCAGTTATGAGACAGGTCAGAGGACACTGTTCCTATAGACAGAGCCAAGCTCTCAATGATGTATTTCTTGGTAAATTAAACTCCCCCTGCCTGGTGTGGCTCAGCTGGTTGGAGCATCGTCCTGTGCACTGAAGGGTTGCAGGTTTGATTTCTGGTCAGGGCACCTACCCAGGATGCAGGTTCAAGCCCCATTAGGGGCATGTGCACAAGGCAACCAATTGATGTTTCTCTCTCCCTCTCCCTTCCTCTCTCTCTAAAATCAATTTTAAAAAAAATTAGAGTGAACTCATGATCATTTCCTAAAATGTTACTCTGGCTTCTTTTCTGGCTTTGTGTGGGAGACACTGAAGCTGAGCCAGCTTTCTGGGCTTTGCAGGAAGCAGTGCCAGTGCCGTCACCAGCAGAGTGCCACCATCCCCACGGGTGTCACGGAGGAAAAAAGGCTGAGGACTCCTGCACTGGAGCCAAACACTCACTGGGGTTTTCCCAAAGACCCAACTAGTTTGTTTTCCATAGCTATTTATGTGCAACATACATTTTAAAAATATAAGGCCACATCCTACCAGAGCAGTATTTCCCAACCCTTCCACATCACCGCACACACTGAAACTGAAGATAACGTTTACATAACATCCTGGCATCAAGGGGTTCTAGTCTTGAAGGAAGCCACTAGCCTGCAGCCTCTCTGGCCACTCTAGCCCCTCCCCACTGTCCCCAAGGCTGAGAAAATGAAATTTCACCACACCAGTCAGGAAGCCTTGATCCAGAATGAGAGGTGATTCTGAGGTAATTTTTAATTAAATTACATTTTTAGATTCAAATTAAAAGTTATAATTATTACACCATCATTCATTTTTCTCCACATAATTCTTTCCCATCGTTGACCTAGACCCAAACATCAGAAGTACAAGAGAAAGAGAAGAAATTGGAGTAGGCGAGGTGTCAAGGCCTGCGGGGCAACAATTTGAAAAGAATTCCTCAAATGCGTGTCAAAGAATACAAGTTGTACTGGATGCTACTCAGGGAAATGGACACACAAAATCAACCACGTTTCCCTACTGTAGGATTCGCAGGGCTGTAAAGATTAATTTTATTTATTACTTGAATAGGCAGTACATTCACATAATTCACATTTAAAAGGTAAAAACAGCCCGGCCGGGCGTGGCTCAGCAGTTGAGCATTGACCTAGGATCCAGGAGATCGAGGTGCGATTCCCGGTCAGGTCAGGGCACATGCCTGGGCTGTGGGCTTGATCCCCAATGACGCTCTCATTATTGATGTTTCTGTTTCTCTCTCCCTCTCCTTTCCTCTCTCTGAAATCAATAAAGATATATCTTTAAAAAAAAGGTAAAAACAGAGCATATAAGGAAAATTCTCACTCCCACCCCATTCCCCAGGCACCCAGTATCCCAGTCTTCACTCTAGTCACCAAATCCTCGGGGCACTGGGTACAAGAGCAATAATAGCCACTGACCACCAAGCAAGTAGGAACCCAAGTACATTAGTTTCCTGTGGCTGCTATAAAAAATTACCACAGCCCTGGCCAGGTGGCTCGGTTGGTTGAGCGTAGTTCTGTACATCAAAAGGTTGCAGGTTCCATTTCCAGTCAGGGTGCATACCTAGGTTGCGGGTTCCATCCCTGGTCAGGCCGTGTATGGGAGACAACCAATCGGTTTCTCTCTCTCTCTCTCCCTTCCTCTCTCTAAAATCAAATGTGTGTGTGTGTATATATATATATATATATATCAAACTTGGTGGCTTAAAACACTAGAAAATTATCATCCCCTAGTTCTGGAGGCCAACATGCAAAATCAGTATCACTGGGCCCAAACGAAGTGTTGGGAGGGCCACACTCCCTTGGGAGGCTTTAGGGGAGAATCCACTCCTTGCCTCTTCCAGCTTCTGGGGCTGCCAGCACTCCTTGGCTTTCAGCCACGTCATTTCAGTCTCTGCCTCTGTGGTGGTTCTACTGCCTTCTCCCCTTCTGTCACAGAGTCAAATCTCCCTCTGCATCTTTCTTCTGGAGATGCTGGTGAGCATTTAGAGCCCGCTGGGATAATCCAGGATAACCCCACTATCTCAAGATCCTTAATTTAATCCCATCTGTATAAGCCCTTTTGCCATGTATGATAACATCCACTGGTTCCAGGGATCAGGACCTGGTATCTTTGGGGGCAAGGGGGGGGTATTTTTCAGCCTACCACACAGTCAGCAGAGGAAGTCAGAGCTGCCCTCACTATTTCTCTTCTGCATTATCTGCTGCTCTGCTCATGGACCCCATTACCTTGTGGCTGGCAGCAGCTTCCCTGTCCCCACCAGGCCATCAGTAACAGCTGCTGCCAGCATAGCCTTTATGAACCTGGAGGCTTAGAAAACTGGGGGAGCAATGAAACTTGGTAGATCTAGAGAAGCAGCAGCTACATTTTTTCAATATACAAGTTTAACAAATATATTTACTATATATCACTTCTCCCTGGTAATGCTCACCAAATATTCCATATGTTCCCTATATTTCCAGCCCCTTTGCAGTTAGGCAGGGTAGTGTGACCAGTTCTGACAGATGAGCTGTGAGCAAAATGACTCTATCACCTCTGGGCAGAAGCACAGGAGAGTGAGTGCTGATTCCCCGCCCTGCCATGGCAACCAGGAAGGCGTGTGTCCTAAATGGCTACGAGATGGTGGGGCCCCTATTAGCCCAAGTCCCTGAGTGTCTGTGCAGAGAAGAAACTGACTGGGATTGGACATGATATGCGACCAACACATAAATCTTTGTTGTGTTAAGCCACTGAGAGCTCTAAACGGGCTGCTATCCTAGCTAATAAACTGGTACAGTCAGTCAGACCCGCACAGAGTAGTAACAGTAATGGTTTCTTGGAGTGGCTATGGTTAAAACGTCTCCAGTCCTGCAGTTAACATGAGCAAAAGTGCCGGACCTGCTCCTGCTCTGGAGGACCCTCCCCTAGCAAATGGCAGAGTCGCGCTGATCTCCTAAGGGCTCTCCCAGCAATAAAATCCTAAAATCCTAAGATTCTATTAAATTAAGAAGAGTAAAAATTTAAATTGTGCCAGAAATACCAGAACATTTTCTGTTTAATTATTTCCACCAGCAGCCAAGGTTGTTCAGATGAAAAAGGAAGAAATTCAACTGGTGCAGAATAATTCTTCGGTAAAGAGAATTTCAAAGAGGTAAGCTCTTCCACAATGAGGCTCTCCAGGCTCCTCCTGCCCACCCACCCCAAGCCAGATGCAGCTTAGCCAGAATTCCAAGCTAAAGGGATGAAACAGTGAGAAACCCCCGCCCCTCTCTCACCTGGGATTATGCCAAGGCGGTCTCCAACAGCAAACACCACTAAGCCTGCCAACATTCCCCATGCTTCCAAACGACACTCTTGCCAATGCCACCACCAGCAACTGCTGGAAAAATGAGTGCTGTTTTACTGAGCACTAGGGCCAACAACTGGGTCCTCCCAGAGGTTACTTCCATAAAAAACAAATAGGAAAAAGGAACTAAAGAAGGTAACAGGGAACAACATATTTCTTGAGGCCCATTCTGATTCTTTTCAGGCCCAAGCATAAGGAAGTTCATGAATTCATGGCCAATAAAAATATTTACCACTTACTGAGGCCTTGTGGGCCACTGTGCTGAGTACTTTACAGGTATCATCTTGTTTAATCTTTTTCAAGAATTCTATGAAGTGTGTCTTTCCCCTACTATTTCCATTTTACAGACAATAAAACTGAGGCTGAGAAGCTAAACATCTTTTCCAAGGTCACACAACTAAGAAATTACAGTGACACATGTAATGAAACTTGGACCTATTGAGCTTTGAAGTTCTAAGGAACATGCTAATGATTTTGAAAATGCTAATAATTTTATGACAGTGTTCCCTGTTAATACTAAATGATATATGACAAACAGCAGCATTTTTCAAACTGTCGGTTCTTAACCCATCAATGAATCAAAACTGACATTTTTTTCAGAAATTAAAAAAAAAATCAGAGTGTATCAAAGTACAGTTTCATGAAACTTTGTTTCAGTTAGATGTAACTGCACACTAAGTTATGATGTAATGTATTCCTTTCTGTAGGTACTGGAGGACCTCAACAATGGCAATCATCAGTCATTCGAATTACTCTGATCCCTCATGACTGAAGGTACATCTGGGAATGACTCAGGAGTTTAAAAACAGGTTCCAAACGGGAGTAAATGCTTTAGTGCTAACCAGATCTACCCCCACAACCTCCCCTCCGCAAAAAAGGCTGGGACAGGATATAGAGGCCATTAACTGTGCTGTGTGAGGTAAGGATCAGTCTCCCTCTAGGTGCTATCTTTTCATCTTTCTCCATCAACATTTTATTATAAAATTTTTCAAACATGGAGCAAATTCATTAATATTCTAAATATACTTGCTTATCACCTATTCATCTCTCTCCATCTATTAATCTATTTTTTAATACATTTTAAAGTAAATTGCAAATATCAGTTTACTTCCCTCTAAAAACTTCAGAGTACATATCATTAACTAGAATTCAATATTTGTTTTTTCTTTTTCTTTTGATGTAAACCTTACATGCAATGAAATGCACACACCTTAGTGTACATTCACAGAGTCTGACAAATGCAAAACCTCCATAATCCAAATTCCTATCAAGATG